TACATTTTCCTCGAATGTATTTAAGTTAACTATGTAATCTTAGTTTAATTAGGGGCCCCTTGCAGATTCTTAAAGCTTACCTGCTGGCCTCCAAGAAAAGACGGCAGTGTGTCTGAATCGAAATCCTGGGACGGCTCCTCCACAAAGCAGCAGCGATTCTCACTGACTGACCATGACAAAAAAAACCTGTAGATTGTAAAGTACAACTATTATATCATGTGAACTAAATTGAACTAAATTCTGACCGTAAATAAAACAGTGGGGGGAAAAAACTATGTAGTCCACAGTGTCAATCATTAAATATATTTTTTTGTCTGCAAGGAAATTCACACTAAAAAGCCTATGTTTTTAAAATACACCCGTGATCGTATAAGAAATTAGAACAGCCACGGCTCCTTTAAAAAGGCTCATATCTATGTAAAAAACGTTAAAGGTCTCCTATTATACTGTTTTTCATCAATATATTATAGGTCTCAGATACAAAACATGTCTTTGAAGTGTTTGGCTCCAAACACCAAACAGATCATTGCAGCATCCCATAATCCCCTCTGTTTCAGCCCTGTTTCAAAAGTGCTGATTCTCTGTCTGTTACTTTAGATGAAAATAAGGAGCCCCTCCCCACGCCCCTCTGAGAGAGATTTGGTTGGTTTGGAGGAGATTCAGGTGATAAGGTGGGTTACCTTGGTTGCTGATTGTCTAATGGTTACACAAGCCAAAAAAACATTAGGACATCATAAAGTGGGGGGGGGTTGGGGGGGGCATTGGGATATTTTTTTGTTTAAATCCTCTGGAGCAGAGAGAGGAGCTGTGGATTATTGTTGGGGCTCCGTTGGCGGGGCTCCGTTGGCGTGGCTCCGTTGGCGGGGCGCAGCGCCCCTCCAAGACAATGGTAGGGGAAACACTGAGTAATATTGTGAACATGAATGTTAACGTTTTGTATCTTTATCGTTTCTGTCATTCTAATTTAGAAAAAGAAAACACCTCTGGGGTCATTTGGGTGCATTTTCCATATCTCTGGCCCCCCTCGGTCGATTTTGATGAGACAGAGCAGCAATGAGGAAAGGCAGGCATTTCTTTGAAATGAGGCGAGGGTCCCTTCTAGTTACAGAGAGAGTTGTACCTGCTTCACACTGACACACTGTGATGTTGAACACCGGGGTTGGAAGAGGAGGTGATTTTCACAACCAGTCATGTAATCCAACATATTGTCTTTCTTGTTGTAAAAGCTTTCTAGTATCTCCACTTTGACTCAATGTCATTTTAGGCCAAACACACATTCAGCAATGTGTTCAGAGAGTATTATTCTTCATATAAATAAAAATACTTCTTTCAATCTTTGAGCTTTTCCAGGGTGGCTAATAACATTTTTCTGTAGTGTGTCAGCTCAAAACAGATAGGTGTGTTTGTTTTGTTAAACCAACCGCACATGCAACAATATGATTAATTGACTTAAAAATGATCGTATTGCTTCCGCTAAGAAGAAAAATATCGTTCCACTGCGTACCAATGGCAGGAAGTGATCATTGATTCGAGGTTTTCTGTAACCGTCCAAGTCTGTTCACAGTTTCATTTTTCTAAGGACAACAGTTTGATCTTTTAGAAGCCCCAACAGATGGTCCTATAGATGGTTTAAGCAAGCTTTCCTCATATTGGATCAACACAGATTTCCCATGTAATAATTAATTGTATAGGATTGTTTTCAGGCTTGTTTGTTTTGGTTCGCTACAGAGCACTGCAGTTCTTCTTTTAGAGGAGAGCATTTTAGAGACTTCTTCTAGCCGAGTCGATTTCATTCCTGATGGATTTACGAATACAGCTCTTTACAACTGGAAACCAAAACTTAACTCTGGATAATGAGTGTGCATAGGATAAAACTACACCAGAATCACCTTAAGAAAAGGAGCGTTAAAATAGTCTTTACCAGATAAAGACTTCAATGTTAGGAAACTTAACTTGACTTAACTTAGAGAACTTAGAGAATCTGCTCTCTGTCTGCTATAAAATGTCCATTAAAAGGGAAAATGTAAAACATTGTACACTGCTGCATTGTTGGCAAAAAGCCGGCCAACGTGTACTACATCAACTGGTGATAGAAAACATTTAAAACTAATGGAGGACCGTGTGAAAATATAACAACAATAATACATGTTTAATGTGTTTGTTTGTTTGTGTTTAAATCAATTGAATTATGAAAAGCTAAGTATAAGATGACACATAATGAGCAACAGTTTCTTGTGGTTAGTGTTTTTGCAGGAAATTCAATGTCAGTCATATCCTGTTGGCTTAATATAGCAAGACCGATGCAATGCTGCAAAACACTCATACACAGCGGGGGGGGGGGGGTTATGATTACTATAATTTTCTACTTACCAATGTACTCGTTAAAAACAGCTTCTGGTTAAAAAAGTCCCCAACTTCTCCTTCACAGATTAAAACATGAGTCATTTTATTACCCTGTGAATTAGTTTCACATTAGGGACCAGTCAGATTTCTGATGATAATTTTCTTAATTAACCAAATGAGGAATGATACAAAAAATATCTATTCTAAGTTTCTGACATGTTGTGTTTATGTCAGGGACTTCCTGATAATCCAAAGTGTATTTGTCTGTGTCTCTCTTTCTCACAACTTATTTCCTGTGTACTGTGAACGCTAAAAAAAATCTACATATAATGAGGAAGGAGCTTTGATTACTAAGCGGAAGAAAAAGAGGAAGGGTGGAGAGAAAGCTGGGGGTAGAAAGATTTAAGGTAAGGCACGACAGTAATTGGAAAACACAACACTCATACCAACGAACTGTAGAGACCAGTTTAATAATCTGACGGAGGATCTCAGCATCGGACAGCAGCACCATGAAGAGGCTTCTGCTGCTCTTCCTCTCACTGATGACAGGTACAAAGATTACTTATACCCAATTGCTGATTTGGATCAAATAAACAGTTTTCAAGATATTCTGCATCAAGTTTGAGCTAATTTTTTTATTTTATTGATCATAAAGTTGTTTAAAAGGGTGGTGGGGTTGGTGGAGCGCTTTGAGGGCTCCATTGTCTATTTTGCTGGATGGAAAGTGGAGGGCATCCTGCTGATAGACCAGTGTTTCCATCACTTATCATTGGCGAGAACTCAAATAATATAAAGTATATCAAGATATGTTTGACCAATTACCTTGATTTCTATACAGAGATAATATTGTAGGGTTCTGACTCTTGAGTCCAGAGAAGAGAGGTTATTTTTAATGGATTCATCTTTTCTCTCATTGTGTTTACATCACTTCTCATTGGCCGAGGAGATTCAATTACATTTTCTATCTCAATCAATCTGAACAGACCCAAAAACAATGCATTATGGGTTTTTGTATTGTACATTATTAGATACACACATGAGACTTTCTTTTTAAGATCCAAATACCTGAAAATTAGGACTAACACTGACTGAAAGGCAGTGCTGGAAGTTCTCTACTTACATCCACATTTGTGGAACTTTAGAGTATTTTTCAGATTACAAGTTACTAAGTAAAGTAAATAAGGTAACAATTGATTTTCTAACAAATCATTCAAACTGAGTCCTCAGTCAAATATAACCTCAAGACACGACTGAACACGGATTACTGTCAAACTTGTATTAAAACTAGGGCTGTCAGTCGATTAAAATATTTAATCGCGATTAATCGCATGATTGTCCATAGTTAATCGCGATTAATCGCAAATTAATCGCACATTTTTTATCTGTTCTAAATGTACCTTAGAGGGATATTTTTCAAGTTTTTAATACTCTTATCAACATATGAGTGGACAACTATGCTTTATATGTTTGTTTATTATCATTTGAACAATGACAAATATTCTCATGAATATTAAACACAACAACCTCTGAACATTACAAATATTCGCCTCAATTCAACCTGGAACCTCTCTCATACAATAATGTGTGTGTGTGTGTGTGTGTGTGTGTGTGTGTGTGTGTGTGTGTGTGTGTGTGTGTGTGTGTGTGTGTGTGTGTGTGTGTGTGTGTGTGTGTGTGTGTGTGTGTGTGTGTTGGAGCTATGTGCAGCTCAAGGCATATATGCCTGTGTGTATGAGCTGTGTTGCGCGCACTATCCGTGCTGAGTGTGCTGTCTGGCTACCTGCATAAAGTCAAGTGCTCGGCGCAGTTGTCGGCGAAATGTCGCTCCTCTGTTTTCATTGAAACAGCTCCTTATATCCGTTAGCTCAGCTAGCTAGCACCAGATGCTAACAACAACACGTAAGTTGTGCTTCGCTCGCGCCACACATACACACACCCTCCCGGTCCTCCCGATGGCCAGTCCGGGCCTGCCGGTGAGCGTGGAAGTGTGGTCTGCCACAAGCGGGCGGCAGGAGCGGGGCTGTCAGCATCAGCTTGTAGATGGTATTTTAAACTCGATGCGCTCTGAAACTACGGCGGCCGAGGACAAAAAATACACATGCGTTAATCGCGTTAAAATAATTAGTGGCGTTAATTTTTTTTTGCGTTAACGCGTTATTAACGCGTTAACTTGACAGCCCTAATTAAAAGTTATCAAAATAAAAACAAATTAATATAATATTTAGCTTATAAGCTCTTTACTGAAAACATTGTACTGATGTTAGTCTTTTGTAATCATACATGTATATATGGTAAGTACATTAAATATTCTTTCATCAGTTAAATGCAACATACTTATAAATCGAGAAACAGTTTTTATTTCAGTTTTAGTAATACCCAGCAGTATTTGAATCAGCACAAAACATAAATGAACACACACCTTCCTCCAGCCCTTCCTCCACGTCCATGCTGTCTTCCTCCTCCTCTTCATCGTCATAGTTGTAGTTCGGGTCAAAGGTCATGAACTTAAGGCAAAGCTTTGTCACCGTGGCAACATGTGGGGACATCTCCTTTGGACAGCTGTCAATCAACGGAAACAACAACATGAAGGTGTCTGTGTGTGTGTGTGTGTGTGTGTGTGTGTGTGTGTGTGTGTGTGTGTGTGTGTGTACCTGCGTATAAAGGCTTCAAAGGCCTGGAAACAGTACTCTCTCAGCTCGTCGTCCTCCACGTCCGTGAACTTCAACACCATCGGGATTAACTTTTCTAAATGTTCACCTACACACACACACACACACACACACACACACACACACACACACACACACACACACAACACACACACACAACACACACACACACACACACACACACACACACACACACACACACACACACACACACACACACACACACACACACACACCAAAGCTTATGAGTTTCTAGATGTGTTCTTTTTTCGTAAATTGAGAATGAAAATGTCAAAATGAAGATCTTTTCAAAATAAAAGTATGTTAGTAATCGAGATGGAAACTGATATCCAAAAGGTACGGGGGAAAAAGATGATAACTTAGCCGTGTGATTGAAAAAGATACTTTAAAATCATTATGCAAAAGCGTTCTGTACTTTAGACTACTGAGTCATTATTGAGAAATGTCTCATGATAATTTTGAGAAGCTAAACAATTATTTTTAGATATCTAATCATTATTTTAGCATATTAACTCATTCATTTAAGATACTAAGTCATTATTTCTTAGATACTAAGTCACTATTTTCAGATACTGTGTCATTAGGTTTGAGGTATTTCATCATTACCAAGATACCATGTCATTATTTTGAGATAATAACTCATTGTTTAAACTTTTCTAATTGAAATGACCAGAATATTCTCTTTGTCTTTCATCACAAGGCAACAAATCTAAATGTCTTCATTTTATTTTGTTACTCTACGTGCAGAGATGGCCTTCCTCAGTCAGGAAACCAATGTGTTGTCCTTAAATCTAGTATCACGTGAGCGTGGCAGCAGATCTCACCGACTCGATGGCCGCCCTGACGACTGACGGTTGCTAGGCACTGGATGTACGTCCTCGCCATGGAAACGGGCGGGGCCTTTGCGAGCTCATTGGTCAGGTGTTCAGTCAGCTGGGAGAAGAGGGCGGGGCTACAGCAGGGAACCAGGTGACCCAGAGCCAAGATGGAGCGCTTCCTCACCGCCATCCTGGAGCTGGTCAGCTGACGGAGGGATGGATGGATATTAGGTTTATCTGAAGGGTGTCTATTTTAACTCACAACCAATATGCAACGTGGGTAGGCAGTTCATTAAAACATCACTATTTTGAGATGCTTACTCTTTGTTTTCAGATACTAAACTTTGTTTTTGTACATTCCCAAAGATATTGAAGTGACTGTTATTTTGTATATATTGATTGTTGTGCTTTTATCTTAATGTGTGCATATGTATAAATGTGTCTGTTGATTGTGTATATATAGGATATACATATTTTATACATATTTTTATATATCTTTGTTATAGTATTCTGTATTGTGGGAAACGGTATTTCGATCTCTCTGTCTGTACACACAAACTGAAAGATTGACAATAAAGTTGACTTTGACTTTTTTCCTTATCCTAATGACTTTATTGCATGGCTAGGTTTTCAGTTCATTATAATATAACTTAATTAACTATGATTGATACAAATAAATACAATAAAATAACATATAATAATATGATCAAAAAAACTATTATTGCTACTAATATTCTGATTTGATCATATATCATTTGATATGATATTCCCTCTTGTCTTTTGTTATATATGTGTTACCTGAGGGAGCAGACTGGAGAGCAGAGCGCTGTGGAAACTGACCAGAGCACCGCTCAGCCTGTGAAAGACAAATGAAATCATTAAAAATCATTTTCTCTTAAGAACTTCCTCCACAGTTTTGAAATTGAACCAAAAAACATGATTTGTTTCAAGGACCTGTATCTGCACGCCTAACACCACCATGTGTGTTAACAACTAGTATGGAGGGATTTAATCCTGAAACACAGTGTGTATCCATCACATATGTCACCCTGTATGCAATTAATACATTTCAGTCACATGCACTGAATACTGGCTGTGCAGGAAATTGCATTTTTGGAGTAAAAACACACCGAGCTCAGTCATGTTGCTGAGTTTGTACTTCAGGTGTTTTATTTTAATGTGTTCCCGTCTCACCCTGCACACTTCATTTCCTCCTCATGCTTCCTTATCCCCTCCTTCCTTGCAGCCTTGTGTCCTGCCCTTCCTCTGTGTTTCAGATCCTCCTCCTCATCAGTAGGCTGGATGTGTTTCTCCACTCAGCCATATTAGTTGAATTAACATTGCCACAAGCAGACACAGCGTTTACTGCATGCACCACGTCGCCATGGAAACCCACAACCTCACAAACACACACAAACAGACTTACACACACATACTTTGCATGTCAATTTGCAACGAACGTCACTGACAATCTTAAAGCAACAAATTACGTGTGTGAGAAAAATGCAAGGAAGCAAGTAATCAAGTTACATACACACATAAAAAACATACATGTCAATCATCCTATTAATGTCACACACACACACACACACACACACACACACACACACACACACACACACACACACACACACACACACACACACACACACACACACACTTACCTATATCTGTCCACATCGATACGTCTAACGGTGCACTAACGTAATGAAACAAGCGTGCGATCAAAGTAGGGGAGTGTGTCAGGATGCTGTTAGCAGTTTGTGTGTGTGTGTGTGTGTGTGTGTGTCTGTGTCTGTGTGTGTGTCTGTGTGTCTGTGTCTGTGTGTGTGCGTGTGTGCGTGTGTGTGTGTGTGTGTGTGTGTGTGTGTGTGTCTGTGTCTGTGTGTGTGTCTGTGTGTGTGTCTGTGTCTGTGTGTGAAGTATAATAGCCGTGATGTGTTATGAAGCTCTCTAAGCATTCATTAGGCCTTCATGCCTCCCTGAGTTTTGCAATTATTGTTGACCTGTAAGAGGAAGGATGGATTCTCCGAACATAACGTGTGGCTCCGCTGCTCCCCGGGCAGCATGCATCTGTTATCACACACACACACACACACACACACACACACACACACACACACACACACACACACACACACACACACACACACACACACACACACACACACACACACACACACACACACACACACACACACACACACACACACACACACACACACACACACACACACACACACACACACACACACACAACCCAGAGGCTGCTTCTGTGTTTTCTGAAACTAAATATCACGCTGATCAACTGGAAACACATTTTCTTTGGGTACTACAGAGAGTGGGAGAGGGGAGAGTAAGTTAGGGAAGGAAGGAAGGAAACAGGAAAGCGGAGAGTAAAGGAAACAATTAAGGAAAGGAACCTAAGTTGTTATAAATCACAAAGTAGTGGTTTTAATGCAAAACTGTGGAAAACCAATTGTTTAGCTCCAGTTTTGGAGAAAGATACAAAGTGCCAGGTACCTCAAAATAATTTTTAAAACTGGATTTTGTACGGATTATTATTAGAGACTACTAACTTTATTCATTTCATTTAAAGGTTCCAAAAACTTCAATCACACACAGACTTCAGACCTGCAGATTTTAAAAGTCTTAAAATGTCTTATTTCGTGGCGTGCTACATTAAAAGCATAACTACACAAAACTACAATTACGAATAAGTCCTTAAGGTGTAGAATTAAGGCTTTATAAAATATGAATTAAGTATATAAAACATTATTATGATGATGTTTCTGTATTTACTGTAGAAGATTTAAAGGTCCTTTATTATGAAAAATCCTCTTCTTCATGTCTCTTCTACATCAACATGTGTCCCCTCTTCTTCATGTCTCTTCTACATCAACATGTGTCCCCTCTTCTTCATGTCTCTTCTACATCAACATGTGTCCCCTCTTCTTCATGTCTCTTCTACATCAACATGTGTCCCCTCTTCTTCATGTCTCTTCTACATCAACATGTGTCGTCTCTTCTTCATGTCTCTTCTACATCAACATGTGTCCCCTCTTCCTCATGTCTCTTCTACATCAACATGTGTCCCCTCTTCTTCATGTCTCTTCTTCATCAACATGTGTCCCCTCTTCTTCATGTCTCTTCTTCATCAACATGTGTCCCCTCTTCTTCATGTCTCTTCTACATCAACATGTGTCCCCTCTTCTTCATGTCTCTTCTTCATCAACATGTGTCCCCTCTTCTTCATGTCTCTTCTACATCAACATGTGTCCCCTCTTCTTCATGTCTCTTCTTCATCAACATGTGTCCCCTCTGTGGAAAGAGACTCTGAAAGTTTCAGGAACAAAGATTCTCTCTCTTTTTGTCCTGATCCATTTCTATAAAAACCTGTCTGAAAATGAGCTGATCAGATTTTGGCCACTTTATGATGTCATAACGATGTGTTGGCTTGTGTAACCATTAGCCAATCACCAACCAAGGTAACCCCCCCCCACCTTATTATCTGAATCTCCTCCTAGAGCACCATTGTGTTCTTTTTAACCAAATATCTCTCAGAGGGGCGTGGGGAGGGGCTCCTTATTTTCATCTAAAGTAACAGACAGAGAATCAGCACTTTTGAAACAGGGCTGAAACAGAGGGGATTATGGGATGCTGCAATGATCTGTTTGGTGTTTTAGCCAATCAGAGACAGGCTCTGTATATATCTGAGACCTGTGATATATTGATGAGAAATATTATAATAGGGGACCTTGAACTCACGTCACCATCGCCACTCTGCTCAAACACTTCTTCTGACATCGCTGTGATGTGAGCAGCAGTAAAGCATCGCACTGGGAGAGACTCCTCCAGTGCTCCCAGTAGAGACATTGCCTACTCCCCCACACCCTCCCATTCCTCCATCACCATGGCAACAGTTTAAACAGCTTTGGTGTTTTCTGGTTTCATGTTAGTGTGAGTATTGGTTGCAAGTAGCTGTAACACACCATCGATGTGTGAGTAAGGGCTCAAATCCTTTCCGTAATGCGCTACAAAAACTGCCTTAAGTGTACATGTTTGGTTTTATAATAATAGCCATGAGAAAAAACTAATAAATAAAACGTGCTTTAGTGTAAATGGTGCATTCAAAAACACAGAGAGAAGAATACGTTGTTTTGTTTTTTTAAAGCAAGGAGCAAAAAATAACACTGTGCAACATGGATTTACAGAATTAAGAAGATAAATATATGCACACACGCGCACGCACACACACACACACACACACACACACACACACACACACACACACACACACACACACACACACACACACACACACACACACACACACACACACACACACACACACACACACACACACACCCCTCCCGTCGACAATTTCCTGGCGGCAATTACTTGCGGCTCTGAGGTGAGTTTTCATTGCCAGTTGTGAAATAGCTCCACACGACTCTCCTCTTTCTCTCAGCCATCATGCTCGTGTGTCGCACTCGAGAGTCGCTGGCTGCTGCTGGCTGCTTGATAATGGGAGTTCAGGCAGGGAGCCTTGAGGAAAGGAGGAGAGCAGTGGAGAGAGAAGGAAAGAGCGCATATACTTGTGTTCGTCTGCACTCTGCACACTGAGACACTACATACTGATATACACCTGAACATCAGCAGGAGAGGACTCTTTAAAGTAGAGACACTACATACTGATATACACCTGAACATCAGCAGGAGAGGACTCTTTAAAGTAGAGACACTACATACTGATATACACCTGAACATCAGCAGGAGAGGACTCTTTAAAGTAGAGACACTACATACTGATATACACCTGAACATCAGCAGGAGAGGACTCTTTAAAGTAGAGACACTACATACTGATATACATCTGAACATCAGCAGGAGAGGACTCTTTAAAGTAGAGACACTACATACTGATATACACCTGAACATCAGCAGGAGAGGACTCTTTAAAGTAGAGACACTACATACTGATATACATCTGAACATCAGCAGGAGAGGACTCTTTAAAGTAGAGACACTACATACTGATATACACCTGAACATCAGCAGGAGAGGACTCTTTAAAGTAGAGACACTACATACTGATATACACCTGAACATCAGCAGGAGAGGACTCTTTAAAGTAGAGGCACTACATACTGATATACAAATGAACATCAGCAGGAGAGGACTCTTTAAAGTAGAGACACTAAATACTGATATACACCTGAACATCAGCAGGAGAGGACTCTTTAAAGTAGAGACACTACATACTGATATACACCTGAACATCAACAGGAGAGGACTCTTTAAAGTAGAGACACTACATACTGATATACACCTGAACATCAACAGGAGAGGACTCTTTAAAGTAGAGACACTACATACTGATATACACCTGGACATCAGCAGGAGAGGACTCTTTAAAGTAGAGACACTACATACTGATATACACCTGAACATCAGCAGGAGAGGACTCTTTAAAGTAGATACACTACATACTGATATACACCTGAACATCAACAGGAGAGGACTCTTTAAAGTAGAGACACTACATACTGATATACACCTGGACATCAGCAGGAGAGGACTCTTTAAAGTAGAGACACTACATACTGATATACACCTGAACATCAGCAGGAGAGGACTCTTTAAAGTAGAGGCACTACATACTGATATACACCTGAACATCAGCAGGAGAGGACTCTTTAAAGTAGAGACACTACATACTGATATACACCTGAACATCAGCAGGAGAGGACTCTTTAAAGTAGAGACACTACATACTGATATACACCTGAACATCAGCAGGAGAGGACTCTTTAAAGTAGAGACACTACATACTGATATACACCTGCACATCAGCAGGAGAGGACTCTTTAAAGTAGAGGCACTACATACTGATATACACCTGAACATCAGCAGGAGAGGACTCTTTAAAGTAGAGACACTAAATACTGATATACACCTGAACATCAGCAGGAGAGGACTCTTTAAAGTAGAGACACTACATACTGATATACACCTGAACATCAACAGGAGAGGACTCTTTAAAGTAGAGACACTACATACTGATATACACCTGGACATCAGCAGGAGAGGACTCTTTAAAGTAGAGACACTACATACTGATATACACCTGAACATCAGCAGGAGAGGACTCTTTAAAGTAGATACACTACATACTGATATACACCTGAACATCAGCAGGAGAGGACTCTTTAAAGTAGAGACACTACATACTGATATACACCTGAACATCAGCAGGAGAGGACTCTTTAAAGTAGAGACACTACATACTGATATACACCTGAACATCAGCAGGAGAGGACTCTTTAAAGTAGAGACACTACATACTGATATACACCTGAACATCAGCAGGAGAGGACTCTTTAAAGTAGAGACACTACATACTGATATACACCTGAACATCAGCAGGAGAGGACTCTTTAAAGTAGAGACACTACATACTGATATACATCTGAACATCAGCAGGAGAGGACTCTTTAAAGTAGAGACACTACATACTGATATACACCTGAACATCAGCAGGAGAGGACTCTTTAAAGTAGAGACACTACATACTGATATACACCTGAACATCAGCAGGAGAGGACTCTTTAAAGTAGAGACACTACATACTGATATACACCTGAACATCAGCAGGAGAGGACTCTTTAAAGTAGAGACAATACATACTGATATACACCTGAACATCAGCAGGAGAGTACTCTTTAAAGTAGAGACACTACATACTGAAATACACCTGAACATCAGCAGGAGAGGACTCTTTAAATTAGAGACACTACATACTGATATACACCTGAACATCAGCAGGAGAGTACTCTTTAAAGTAGAGACACTACAAACTGAAATACACATTACATGTCACTTGTTAGACGCTTTTATCCAAAGCGACTTATATACTCAATACTGTGGGCAATCCCCACAGGAGCAATTTGGGGTGAAGTGTCTTGCCCAGGGACACGACGACATGCTGACTGCAGTGGGGTTTGAACCTGTGACCCCCTGATCCGAACACCTACGGACAACCCACTGCGTCACACGCCTCCCTGAAAATCAGCAGGAGAGGACTCTTTAAAGTAGAGACACTACATACTGATATACACCTAAATACAGCAGAACATGTCCTTGTGTGTGTGTGTGTGTGTGTGTGTGTGTGTGTGTGTGTGTGTGTGTGTGTGTGTGTGTGTGTGTGTGGTGTGTGTGTGTGTGTGTGTGTGTGTGTGTGTGTGTGTGTGTGTGTGTGTGTGTGTACCTGTGATACGTGCATGTCGCTCTCATCCACCAGACCCGGCAGCTCGCTCAGGACCGGTTCCAGCGCGGCAGGTTTGATGTTTGCAGCCTGATGCGTGATGATCGAGGTGAGACAGGCCAGCGTCCCGAGCTTCAGAACTCGCTCGTTCTTTCGGAGGAAAGATCCCAAAACTGAGAGCGTCTCCGGCAGGATGGAGGACAGGTCGATCTGAGAGAGGAGGAAGAAATGTTTACAGCAGGGGTGTCAAACTCAATTTCATCGCGGGTCACATTAGCATAAAGGTTGCACTCAAAGGGCCGGTTGTAACTATATAAATATATAATATATATATAAAATAATGTATTATATTACATTATTGCCTCTGAATTGGATTATTATCGGATAGGATAATAACTTAGTAATTGACTACGTCTGAAAGCAGAAGTCCAGGGCAAATAATTGCAAGTCTCTTCAGTGCGCATGTCACAAAACGAGATGCATTGTGGGACATGTAGTTTATGGGCAACCTGCTTCTGTAACCGTATAATAAACGTATTATATTCTTTGCAAGCTCTTGCGAGGCCACATAAAATGAAATCGCGGGCCGGATTTGGCCCCCGGGCCTTGAGTTTGAGACCCCTGGTTTACAGTGAAGCTGTTATGGCAGAATGTTTAATACAGCGTATTTCTGATATTTATTAATGATCACATGGTATTCCATATGATGTGTGTTACTGAGTTGGGTCACACACAGTTAGAGAGACAATGGTCGTTGTGAATTATCAATAGATGTATTCATTTTTAGTGTGCTGACACCGAGGGTATAGGAAGTGCAGAGAAGGCCTCGGGTTATAAAAATAGTTAACCTTTGTTAGTTAACTAATCCTCAAGATATCATGAGATAATGACGTTTAAACATATACAGGTATAGCTTTCAGAGAGAAAAACATGTGACATTTGTGTGGTTGGCTGCATGATACAATGTGTATCCTCCATAACTGTTAAACCTTTGCAGGACACAAGTCAGATCAAACCACTACCACGGTGACAACAGTGTCTTTTGTTTGTGCTACAATTTCAGGCTCCCTGGGAAGTAGCTTCTAACCCTGAGCCCGAGAGAGATCCTCCGTTGTCCCCACGAACCAAAATGGCAAGTTGTACTTCATAATACTCTATCACCATTGTTTTTTCACACACTGGTAAAGGGAGGAATCTTTGTCACATATATGGCAAACAAGTTGGATATCTGTCAGCTTGTTAGCGTTGATGACGCCTTGACCTAAGATACACAATTTAGGCAGGACATACTTTCAATACTACTTCAACTGCTCTTAGTCAGATGCTAATAAGAGTTTTTCAAAATGAAGAGTACAATTTGTGTTTTTTATAAAATAGGTGTCCAAGCAGACAACCTTATTGTTTTTCATTGTCATAAGGATTATGTCCTAAAAGTATCTGGGTCACATTTCACACTCAAACACACTTAAAATAACATATATATTTATTTTGTTTATGTTGAATGTTTGATCCACAGTGTCATCATGAACTCACCAGTGCAGTTATTTCCTCTTTGGATAATTGTCATGATTGCAGAGGACCTGTCTCAAGCCTCAAATGGATTGGTTTTACGTGTAAATGTAAGTACCTGTCAAACAACACCGTTTTATTTTTTACTCTGAGATGATAAACATTTCGATAAAACAAACTTAATTTCAAATACTTAACTTAGATTCTAAATGACTTACTTTCTTCTTTGTTATATAGTGAAACGCACAGTGATTAAATGTTAAAATAATGCTCAAGAAATGTTACCAGTACATTTTTCTTGTGTAATTGTGTTTTTAGTTTGTTCAACCTCATGGCACAAAACCTGCTTCATCAAGAACAACGAGTCACCGGTACGTCATGTGTTTATATAAATATCTGATTTCTTTGGATAATGAAAAAAATGCAAACTTGGTGTTCCTTTATTTATTTTTTAAAGATGAAGGACATCTGCCTTTCCAGTAATGAAGGTTCCGTCAGTGATAAAGACTACATTCCTGAAACGGCGTCTAGCAGCGATGGATCCAGCGCCGATGAAGACTGCCCACCTGACTCTGAAGCAAATACTGATTGGGATCATCTCATTGCCACCATCAGGGATTCAAAGCCACCCCATTGTAAGACAACATTTAAAATACCTCTCTTAAAGCTTCAGTTCATAACAGATATGTATTTATCAGCTACAAAGGAAACAGACCCAGGAACAGCTCGAACTGCAGGCAGCCGAGAGTCACATTGATTATTGCTCAGGCGTCATCTCTACTGTGGTGAATTGTCGGAAACATAACAACACATTGTGCATGTAGTTATCCCAATATTTATAAAAGATCTTACAAGATTTGAGCTCCAAATAAAGCAGCATGTTGCAGTGCTTTCTGCCTTTTTTCTCCTCTTTCAACCAAGAAGCCCTGTACCGCCCGCACCTCTGGAAAAACGCTTAATAATTCAGTCGTAGATACCACATCACACATATCCTCACATCACTGTAGAACACAGAGTAGTGTTCAGGCTACCGTTTGTTACTCACAAGGCCCTACATGGCTGTGCTACATTGGGAAATGCATCGATGACGTGGTCCCGAAGGTTTCTGTACGGACATTCCCAAATCAAAAGCCCTGGGTAAACGGTGAGGTGCGCGGCAAACTGAAAGCGCGCACTCTCGCGCACACAGCGGGAGATTTGGAGGAGTACAGGAAGTCTAGGTATGATCTCCGGAGAGCAATAAAAAATGCAAAGAGACAGTACAAAGAGAAGGTGGAATCTGACTTCAAAGGCTGTAACACTAGGAATATGTGGGCGGGACTAAGGACAATGACTGACTACAAAGGAGCAGCGGGGGGTGCTGCGGGAGTGTCTGCGTGCGCATCTCTCCCAGATGAGCTAAACAGTTTTTTTGCACGCTTCGAGAGCAGCCGGGCTGTGGAGGTACAGAGGGACCAGGAGCTACACTGCCCTTTTGTTTTAAATAGGGCAGATGTGTGTAAATCCTTTAAAAGGGTTAACCCACACAAGGCTCCTGGACCTGATGGCATCCCTGGCCGTGTTCTCGGGGTGTGTGCAGTTCAGCTGGCAGAGGTGTTCACAGACATCTTCAACAGGTCCCTGCTGCAGTCTGTAGTCCCCACATGTCTTAAACACTCCACCATCATTTCTGTCCCCAAAAAGACAATCATCACCTGCCCCAACGACTACCGCCCAGTAGCACTCACCTCCATCATAATGAAGTGCTTTGAGCGGTTAGTCAAATTATTCATCACCTCCTCCCTCCCTGAATCTCTGGACCCCCTGCAGTTTGCCTACAGAGCAAACAGGTCCACAGACGACGCCATAGCCCTCACCCTCCACACTGCCCTCTCACACCTGGACCCGAAGAAGAGGAACACATATGTGAGAATGCTGTTCATTGACTACAGTTCAGCATTCAACACCATTGTGCCCTCCAAGCTGGCCATCAAGCTCAGAGACCTCGGACTCAACAGCGCCCTCTGCGACTGGATCCTGAACTTCCTGACGGGCAGACCCCAGGCAGTGCGGGTGGGAAATATCACATCCTCCACCCTGATTCTCAACACCGGTGCCCCTCAAGGCTGCGTGCTCAGCCCTCTCCTCTACTCCCTGTTCACCCACGACTGCGTGGCCACACACAGCTCCAACACCATCGTGAAGTTTGCTGATGACACGACCGTCATCGGCCAGATCACAGACGATGACGAGACGGCGTACAGAGAGGAGGTCGAAAACCTGACATCTTGGTGCCAGGAGAACAACCTCCATCTCAACATCAGCAAAACAAAGGAGCTGATTGTGGACTACAGGAAGCAGCAGGGAGAGGGACACGCCCCCATCGCCATCAATGGGACTACGGTGGAGAGAGTCAAAAGTTTCAGGTTCCTTGGGGTCCACATCACTGAGGACCTGACATGGTCTCTTCACACCACCACCATCACTAAGAAAGCTCGACAGCGGCTCTTCTTCCTCCGCAGGTTGAGGAGGTTCAAAATGGATTCCAGGATACTCTGCAACTTCTACAGGTGCACGATAGAGAGTATCCTCACTGGCAGCATGACGGCCTGGTACGGCAGCTGCACCGACCTCGATCGTAAGGCTTTACAGAGGGTGGTGAAAACTGCACAGCACATCACCAGGACGGAGCTGCCATCCATGGAGGACCTTTACTCCCAGCGGCTCAGGAAGAAATCACTACGGATTATCAAAGACCCCCATCACCCCAGCCACAAACTGTTCTTTCTGTTGCCGTCTGGCAGACGTTACCGCAGCATCCTGGCAAGGACAAGAAGATTCGGAGACAGTTTCTTCCCGCGGGCAGTGAGACTGTTAAAAAATTGAACTGTTGAAACAACTTCAAACATTCAACTGCTACTCAGTAGTATGTATCTAATACCTAATATATATATATCATTCCAATAACTTGTATATAGACTCATACTGCACTATTCCACATCATAACTTTATTTCATTTTTATAACTATTATTATTTTTGTATTGCTCTTGCTCTTATTGTTATTATGTTATGTTATTATGTTGCATTGTTGGAGAAGCCTGTGACATAAGATTTTCAACTGCATAATTACTCTGTAGCTATGTCAGATTGACAATAAAGAACCTTGAACCTTGAACCCTTCATGCATCTCAGACCTCTTACATCCCACTCAGATCAGTCGACCACAGGCTCTTATTTATACCCTGCTCCCTCTGTAAACCCCTCCTCACCTCTCTGACGAAGGGTTTGGGGTCGAATCCCCCCCCTGCTGAGGGTCCTTGAGGCCTCATCACTCTCACCAGCTGCAGGACCACCAGCAGAGCCTCTGAGGTGATCTTATAGAAGGAGTCCTCCACACAGGAGACCACCGGGGGGAGCAGCACCTGCAGGGGGACGAGCACATCTGTTTAGCGGACTCTGGGCACCAGATCGTGAGCGCATTAGGAGGTGGAAACGAGATGGATTAGGATACACTGTGCTTCTGACCAGCGTTAGAAGTGTGGTGCTCAGACACCTAGAAACGTTTTGTTTTTACCAAGCATTCATTGAGAGCCTTATTTGTTTTTCTTTTATCTGCTGGTTCCATAGCCTGACACTGAAAGACAGGAACAGCCTGAACAACATGTTAAAACCTGCTCTAAGGTCATCGGAGTGAAACAGAGAGACTCCTTTTTGAACACCAGATCAAAAAAAACGAGGTGTTCCAGCAGATTCTGCAGAATCTGCTGGAACATCAGCAGGACATGACTCTTTAAAGTAGAGACACTACATACTGTAACAACACTTACACATGTAAATAACACATTGTAAGCTACATTTTTAGTTTTTTGGTAATCTAAAACATAGACAAGTATGGTTTGCCCTTAAGATGTCTTTGTGTCATTTGTATGTGTGCACCCTTCCCATATGGACAGGAAGAGTGGACAGCTAAGCGTTGCTGGTGGAGGGAGAGGTGTGGAGAGGGCAGAGGTGGGGACTCGAGTCACATGACTTGACTCGAGTCGGACTCGAGTCGCATATTTTTGGACTTGAGACTTGCTTGACTAACATTGATAAAAGACTTGACTTGACTTTGACTTGGTATTCATGACTTGAGACTTGACTTAAGCTTGAGACAGATGACTTGAAAGGACTTGACTTTTTTAAAATGAAATATTTGCGTTTGTTTTTGTATTGAGATATTACATTTCGTTGTTTCGAAACGTGATTGGGTGATTATAGCACCGTGCGCGCAAACCTGGCAACCCACTAGCAGTGTTGCCACTTGGCGACTTTCTCGTTAAATTCGGCGGCTTTCCAAACCCTCCGGCTACTTATTTTTGTCAAAAGCGACTAACGACTAATTTAACGACTTGTAATGGTGTTATTAGGGACTTTTCTGGTGTTTGGAGACTCAAATATTGTTCAGCAGTTAACGAGCCGCGGGTGCTGCCGTGAGCCCCTCTGCCCCTCCCATAGTACTCACAGGCGCTCGGCCTCCCGCAGCAGCTCAGCTGCAGTCAGAGCAGAGAGGAGACAGCCACACTCTCCCGCGTCGAGACTGCAAATGAATTGCGCATGAGCGGGATTTAAATGTAAAATGTAAATGTTTCTTCACTGTCACACTATAATAAATAACTGCCTTTGCTTTGCTTTGACTCACACAGCCTCAGTCACTTAATCACCTCGTCCACTGTGTGTGTGCCTCTGTGACAAGCTAAACATCCACGTAGGTCATCATGTCACAGTCTAAAGTTACTGTGGCCTATTCACAAAAGTACAGAAAGGAGTGGGAATCAAACCCTGAGTTTAAAGGATGGTTGAAGCCATTTATTGGAGATGACACACGGGCCTACTGATATAGGCCTACTGCCTTTATTGTAAGGGAGATTTCTACTAAAAACTACTAAAAAATCCTGTAACTGCTCTGCTGACTTTCTACCCTTTTTCTACATTGGTTCCAGCGTGTGAAGATTAACGGCGTCGGCTTCCGTTAGCCTCAGAGTAATTGTTAAGACAGCGATGAACAGTCCTTAGCTCTAATCCCCAAATCAAAGAGAAGTTGCGCAGACCACCAACATTCAGGTTTGATTTCCTTCACTCAAAAAAAACATGACTTCATCTTTCCTTCCTTTCAGAGATCGCAGCGCAGAAGCTAGACTTACCTCCTGTATTTACTAATTAGCGAGAATGTGATTCAGGGTTCTTGAATTCACTTCCCACAGAACAGTACAAATAATGTAAGCTTTATGAAAGAAAAAGACAAAGGTGGTATTTCTAAGTGAGTCTGGAGATGTTGTAACATGCAGTAGGGTGTGTGACATATACAGCACACTGTGAGGTAAAAATGAGAGGAAGAAAATTGTCTCGGAGTGTGACTACAAAGATAGATGTGTGTGGAGAAGAGAAAAATATACAGAGATGAAAGGTTAAGGGAGAACAAAGCATGTCGAGTAGTGAGCATGGTTAAATAAGTGTTGTTTTATTGTGCATGCACTGTGCAAATGTACTCTAGGTAGAAGCTGTGGCATAATCCTGAGGGAGCAACACTATCAACAGACAAAGACTTGCATACCATTTATTCATCCAATTTGACCTGACAGCTAATTCCATTTTTTTATGAACACACATATGTTAATATCCCTTCATATTTCCTTCTTGGCTTCAATTCAAACTGTGCTTTGGTGTTTGTGTGGAGCCCAAGGCTGAGCGTCATTACGGTGCTCGGCAGGCTCATTGCAGATCTATTATGTTGATTTGACTCCATGAGGTGGTAGAGAAAGCACTTGCTATGTGAGAAGCAGAGTAATGTGATTATATTACAGGAGCAGTAGGGTTGTTTGATAAGTATAGGGCCGCGAAACTCGCGGAAGTGATTTCAAAACAAAAGCACTCGTTTGCTTGGAACGTTGATAATATTATAAACGAGGGGAAACAAGGTGAATTTAGCGATCACAACGAAAACGGCCAAGACACACATTGAGCCCAGAAAATGAATGTTATTAAGGACTGTAAATATAATAAGTCTATGTCTAAAATGGACAACATTGTTAGGAGATTTAAACTACACAGCGATTCTGCACTGCGGTCACTCAGCCGTCTGTTTTTTCAAATCAGCTGCTCTTCATTTTTTTTTTACAAATATTTTTTACCACAAGTTCTTAATAAAACTGACACTGTTGGACTCGGTATTAGTTTGCCTGCTACTAACAATACATTGAAGTACTTTTACTGTGTATTTTTTAGAAATACCCTGTCAAAGTCCCCTCCTGAGAACAAAAGCAAGCCACTTCTGCTAAGTTTGATGAGGGAATTCTTTTTTGTTGTCATTAGTTCTTCGTGAGATTGATCCTGTTGGACTCAGTACTAGTGAAACCCCCACAAGTACTATGAAGTACTTTTACTGTGTAGTTACTTTATAAACTCTGAATCTTGTGGTGCTTGAAGAAATACAGACTGGTTAAGCCGGCCAGGTTATATATATGCCCTTTTTTGCAATATTTATAAAAATGTCACTAGTTATTTAAACAAACCACTATCTGAGGATAATACAAGCAACCATAAAACGCCCTTTATCTCGAGAGCCATTGAAGCCCATGAAGAATTTATCCTTCCACAAATCTTTTCATCTGCTGTATTAATAAAGTTGCCACGTGTTTTCAAATTCAAGTTAAGGCACTATCTGTGCAGAACATGAACCCTTTAACTGCCAGACCAAGAAAAAAGCTATGGAACAATTATTTGTTTGCATTTTTTTATCAAATGGGCCACAACTAACCACAAACACATTTCTTTTTTTTTTGACTGACCACACAGTTTTGTTTTTTTGAGCCAGACTACCAACTGGTCGAGCTGGCCTTCTATGGTAAAAGTGCATTTTCAACAATCATCATACAGTACAGTATTTGTATGCATCAAACTCAAATAAAACACAAACTCAAATAAAAAATATTATTTGATGGAAAATTAGCAATATATAGATATATTCATAAAAGATAATAAATTATAATTGTAAAAAAAGGAAAAAGGTAATGTTAAGTGTTTTTCATAATAAAAAAAAAAACTTGCTCATCTTACTGTAGATGCTGAATTGGCCTAACAAGAAACCACTGGCCTAACAGCAAATGTCTATATCCTGTGTTGGCCTAACTTGCTCATCTGTGTGCAACTTCGGGCTGAATGCCATGCATGAAAGCTGCTTTATGAATTATTATCACTCTTTCACTCTGAGACTCATAAGGCAGTACTAGATGTAGTAATATTACCACAAATCTAGCCATTTATTTACCATATTTTATTGGAAAACATCTCTGAAACTCTGAAAAAGTCATATTGCTAGTTTACCATAAAAGGCCAATTCGACCGGTTGGTTGAGCATATTTTCAAAAATATAATTACACCCTTGTTAAAACTTTTTTTGTGCATCAAGTTATCTGATTATGTTCACTCAGTGCTCTGACACTAAAACATGTCAAAAATGACATGGTTACCTTACAGAAGTTGACCAAAAAGAGTGATTTAGTCAGCAGTGATTTTTAGCATGCCAACTTTCTCAGTGGAAGCTAGCTGAAGGGCTTTCTATTCGAACCACAGTGACATCTAGAGGTTGTTTTGTGCATAGCATGTCAACCAAATGGTAGAGCTGGCTGAATCAGATGGAGTAAAACTTTTTTATTTATTTTTCAACAAGATATCAAGACACAAAATGAGCTCTACCAAATGGTGGCGCTGGCTGTTAAAGGTTTAACAATATTCTTCATTTGCAGTATTTATTTTAAAAGTGTTCAGAAAGACTGCATCAATGATATGCTATATATATATATAATATGAATATTTGTATTAACTTCAACCAAAGTCAATTTAAATAGCGGGCAAAAATGGGTTAATTGCCATGGATGTGGTGTTTGATATAGTTTACGTTCAATTTCAACTATTTTAGGCAGAAAAAACGTCTATTGACTACACGCTTTTTAATAATTTACTATTTAGAAAGGTTTTTGTGAGAAATCATTTCAAAAGTAAACTTTTTTTTCCTTTTGTATTTAAATTTGAAAGTTTGCACCAAACATTATTAATTTATACATTTTTATCAATTGTTTAAAATTATGAATCAATTTATTTTATTGTATTTCCTTGAGGCTGGGGAAGATATCCAGCATGTAGTTCACCATGCAAATGTTCTAATCAGGGTTCATACACTTTTCACCAATGCATCTCCATGACTTCTCCATGACCTATACCTAATTTTCCATGACCAAAAACATTACTCTGTCTCAGCGGTTCCACTGAAAATGGTTTATTTTAACATGGAACAGGAAAATAGGGTCTGAAACATGTTGTCCCTTTCTAAAATAAATCCAATAGGCTTACTAGCTTCTACACGCTAAAGCAACTCAAATCTCTTACCAGCAAAATACCTCGTCAGTTAAATGCCATTTTACGTTTCATTACTATACGATACAGTATTTATTATCATTATAGTATTACTATTTTGGCGATTAGATAAAATATAAATTATATTTGATGCAATTTTAGTCACATTTCCATGACTTTTCCAAAACTTTGGGGAAAATATTGTTTTCCATAACTTTTCCAGGGCCTGGAATTAGCATTTTGAATTTCCATGACTTTTCCAGGTTTTTAATGACCGTAAGAACCCTGTGTAATACAAGTAAGTATAAGTATAATGGAAAAGTAAATAAAAAAAGTTTCATAGGAGGATGTGGAATTATTTTCTCTCACCGTACACAATCAAAACAATTTATAATTTAGCTATGGCCTTCACTCACAAAAAAACATTTAGTTGAATTGGACACATTTTTCGAAGCTCTGACATGCAATGACTGGGACTGGTGGAAGAATCTGCGAGGAATTAACTAGGAGCAGAGAAATAATCATATTTTAAAAGACAGCAGCCCCATAAGAGGCCAACAAGAGTCACAAGGGTGTGTCACTTTGCTGAAGGATAGACCAGCTGTCCAGGCCAGACTCTAAAGACTTTGCATGGTGTAAAATGCTGCTGCTGCAGTACTAGTGCTGATATCATGTCTACCATCCTCTTAAAATACTCTGTCCAACAATATAAGTCTCATGAAGAAAGGTGTTTTAACGCTTATTCAAAATAGTAGAGAAACATGCATTCTAGTACTCAGGAGGGGACTTTGACAGAGGATTACTAAAAAGAAAGTACTTCATTTTATTGTTGGTAGCAGTCAAAATAATACCGAGTCCAACAGTGTCAGTTTTATTAAGAACTTGCGGTAAAAAATATTTGTAAAAAAAAAATGAAGAGCAGCTGATTTGAAAAAACAAAGTGGAGAGACGGCTGAGTGACCGCAGTGCAGAATCGCTGTATAGTTTAAATCTCCTAACAATGTTGTCCATTTTAGACATAGACTTATTATATTTACATTACAGTCCTTAATAACATTCATTTTCTGGGCTCAATGGTGTCTTGGCCGTTTTCGTTGTGATCGCTAAATTCACCTTGTTTCCCCTCGTTTATAATATTATCAACGTTCCAAGCAAACGAGTGCTTTTAAAAAAAAATCACTTCCGCGAGTTTCGCGGCCCCCCCCTCCCCCCTCGCTCCAACGACCATTAGACCATTTAGTAAGGTAAAAAGCAAAAACGCCTCGCAGACACTCTTCCGTTTACTTGTTTAATAAAGAAAAACAAATGGTCCGTAGATACACGGATTCATCTCCCTCCATCATGTTGATTTTAATCAGAAGTTCTGAACATGAGCCCGCCCCGCTCGACCTTCTGAGCCAATCACAGCGCGATAATGACCTGCCTTCCGTTTCAACCATACTCCTTCCGTTTCCACTATACTTTCTCTCCCACATACATACATTCTTCTCTTGCATACATATATTGTCTTCATACATACATACATTATTTATAATATTAAATGTAAACATTGAATGAATGTGCATGAGAGCAAAATGTATAAATATGAGCATTAAAATATATGAATATGAGAACAAAATGTAAAAATGTGTGAGTGAAAAACTTATAAATGTGTGAGTGACAATGTATGAATGTGTGCATTGAAATATGATAATATGAGAGCAGAATGTATGAATGTGTGAGTGTAAATATATACGTGTGTGAGAGTGAAAATGTATGTATGTAAAAGGAGAATGTACGTGTGTGAGAGTGAAAATGTATCAGTCAAGAATACAAGTGTTAACCATCAAAATTCCACAGTCATAAGGCTTAAAGCACATGTGTCAAACTCAAGGCCCGGGGGCCAAATCCGGCCTGTGATAGATTTAATTTCGGCCCGCAGGATAATTTCTAATAACTATTAGATCTGGCCCGCCGGTATATTGCACGCACACCTTCACTCAATCCTGAGGGTTTCCTCAGCTCAGAGCCTGAGCCCAACATTGATGAACTTGCACCCAAGATGAGATGCCAAGTATCTAGGACGGTCGGAGAGAGTGGACAGTGGACAGTTGGCTGAAGGGAGAGACGGTGAGGGGGCAGGAGGGGTTGTGGCCCAGGTGACGGGGGACACAGGGCCTGCCGTGGTACAAGACAAGTGGAGAATTAAAGGGGTGCAGGATATGTGCTGTCCAGAGAAGAAAGGCAGATGGAAGGAGCACTATTGCGTTTATGAAGAAATATGGAGAGATTGAGGTGACAAGATGATGGCCAAGGAAGGGAGGGAGAGGGGGGGGGGGGGGTTGAGGAGAGTGAAAGGAAAGGTCTCAAGCATCATTAGTTTCAATCTCTGGCCTCATTGCATGGTGACAGCAGCATGGCTAAATTACCTGGCACTCAAATTAAACAGGGCATATAGTGAGAGTGAGAGACAGTGAGAAAGGAAGGGACAGAGACAGTGTCTGTGTGTGTGTGTGTGTGTGTGTGTGTGTGTGTGTGTGTGTGTGTGTGTGTGGTGTGGTGGTGTGTTGGTGTGTGTGTGTGTGTGTGTGTGTGTGTGTGTGTGTGTGTGAGTGTGTGTGTTGTGTGTGTGTGTGTGGGGTGGGGGTGTTGACACATTAATGCAATTCTCTCTGGATCCCTCCCGTTCCCTCGGCCCAGCCCTGGATAATGAGCTAGCGAACACTCTCCCTTTCCCCCCACTGGGCCTACCTGCCATGACAAAAGTCTCTGAACGCTATTTTTGGAGCCCCACTTCTCATTTATTTCCTTGAATTGGTGATGGATAATGATCATTGTGGCTTGAGGTGCCATATTCAAATTAACTGCCATTCCTCCGGTGCTATCGGCCGGCATCTCCCAGCCTGCAAAAAAGTGTCCCTGCACCGCGCCCGTCGGCTCCCACCGTTCCTCCTCCCTCCCTTACCTCTCCTGGAAGCTACACAAAAGACCATTGAAGCAGCGCCGGCTGATATGTTTCCTTGTTGAGCTTATTCAAATCAGGTGTTTGAAAACGAACCTTGTTTGCATTGTAATGTTGCGTGGCAGAGCATCTACAATTGACAATTTACTCATACAGGCCTGTTAGAGGGCTAGGTGCGTCAGTGCTGTGAATATGAAATGAATTACATTCCCGCCTGTAGTTATTCAGATCAGAGTGTAACATGATAGCTTACATGAGTGGGTTTGAATGGGGGTCTAACTAAATACATTTGAATTGGAAAGGGTGTGTTTGGGCAGATTGTGCCACGCACCAGGTGCTGCGGCGGATAAAGCACGCAGTTTATTGTACATAATAGGATGCAAGAATCTTTACATATACATGAATTCTATTAGGCATCGCTGCACTGGAGGGAGGCACAAAAGGCAGCGGCGCTCACTGAGAGGAGGTGAGGGAGCTGCTTCACATCCATCAGTCTGATAAAGAGATTTGTATTCGTCAGTCTAGTGCAGGGGTCGGCAACCCTGGCACGCGTGCCAGCATGGCACGCGGCACCGTAGCCAGGTGGGCAACACTAGGAATAAGTCGAATAAGTGTGCAAAATATTATAGAATTGTATTTTCGGGATCCTGAACGAGACCGCCGCCAGAGCGCGTCTCCCCGTTACCTGCAGAAGGAAGCCATGCACGCAACGCAGCCCCGCTCTCTTAACTCCAGATGACTTGTCTCTGCCGCTTTCCTCCGTGGTGCAGTGCTGATCGTTTCACCACGGAAGAAAGCACTTCACAAATTGCAGTACCCATAAGGAGCTTAACAAATGTCGCAGTTTTTGCGTGGCTGTGTGTGTCTTTAGTTTGAAAGCCCAGTGGCGATCTGCTCATCTCTCATTGAAATAAATTATGCTACAAAGGGGCGGACTTGGCCATCTGTGTGGTTGAACTTTCCTGTCGGCTCCCAGACCGTAGTCGAGGGAGGGCAGAAGCAACGAGCTCAGGTTCAATACCCCACTTTAGCTTAAAATGACTGAGGAGGCGAGCTCTCTTCTTGAGAGGGCCGTTGCATTGTGATTTAGCTGTTCTTCTTCTGTTCACAAAATACATCACAGACCTCTGTTTTCCTCTGCTGCTTCGTTTCACTTCCAGAAACATACTCACACGCACAACGCCACACCCCTTCTCTCTCTCTTAAAAGGGACAGCGAATCTCATCTCACTCTGCATGACCCTAATATCATAACATGTGTGTTCTGGAGAATCACAGAACGGACGAATCGTCTTATTATTATGCCGTTTAAAACCAATTATTTAAATGTGTTTGTTAATTTCGGTATCATGTAAGTTGCGGCTGGACAGGTCCACCACACTGCTTCCCGCAGCGAGGGCCCCCCCGCCCTCCTGTGATAGATCACGAGGCGTCAAGCTCCTCAACATCCTCAACACCCCCCCCCCCCCCCCCCCCCCCCGTTGATAATTCTCGAGTCGTTGGCAACGCTGATAATTTTTTTTTTTAAATGGCACTTCATATCAAAAAGGTTGCCGACCCCTGGTCTAGTGTGTGTGTGTGTTTGTGCGTGTGTGTGTTTGTGCGTGTGTATTTTGTGGGAAAAAAGGCCATCATGCTGCCACTCTCACTTTGCACTGTTTTAGGAACAAAGATAATAAAGTGTTTCTGTGAAACAAAACACCTGGGGGATAACTGTCACTGCAGAGACTCCTCTCAGTACAACATCTGTGTGTGTGTGTGTGTGTGTGTGTGTGTGTGTGTGTGTGGTGTGTGTGTGTGGTGTGTGTGTGTGTGTGTGTGTGTGGGTGGGTGGGTGGCTGTGTGTGTCTGTGTCTGTGTCTGTGTCTGTGTGTGTGTGGGTGTGGGTGTGGGTGTGGGTGTGGGTGTGTGTGTGTGTGTGTGTGTGTGTGTGTGTGTGTGTGTGTCTGTGTCTGTGTGTGTGTGAGTGGTGTGTGTGTGTACCTGTGATACGTGCATGTCGCTCTCATCCACCAGACCCGGCAGCTCGCTCAGGACCGGTTCCAGCGCGGCAGGTTTGATGTTTGCAGCCTGATGCGTGATGATCGAGGTGAGACAGGCCAGCGTCCCGAGCTTCAGAACTCGCTCGTTCTTTCGGAGGAAAGATCCCAAAACTGAGAGCGTCTCCGGCAGGATGGAGGACAGGTCGATCTGAGAGAGGAGGAAGAAATGTTTACAGCAGGGGTGTCAAACTCAATTTCATGGCGGGTCACATTAGCATAAAGGTTGCACTCAAAGGGCCGGTTGTAACTATATAATATATAATATATATAAAAGAATGTATTATTTACATTATTGCCTCTGAATTGGATTATTATCGGATAGGATAATAACTTAGTAATTGACTACGTCTGAAAGCAGAAGTCCAGGGCAAATAATTGCAAGTCTCTTCAGTGCGCATGTCACAAAACAAGATGCATTGTGGGACATGTAGTTTATGGGCAACCTGCTTCTGTAACCGTATAATAAACGTATTATATTCTTTGCAAGCTCTTGCGAGGCCACATAAAATGAAATCGCGGGCCGGATTTGGCCCCCGGCCTTGAGTTTGAGACCCCTGGTTTACAGTGAAGCCTCTACTGCAGTAAAGGTATTCACACACAGTGAAGGAAAGTCGTAAATAAAATGTTTCAGACATATATCATTTATTCTTCAGAACATTTTGGGGGGATTTAAGGACGTTTTCTTCATATTTGGGGGGAATGTTTCACATATTCTTGGGAAAATAATTTGAGACATTTTCTGAGAATTATTCTCTTCTTTTTGTGGCATTTTATTGTTGTTTAAACTTTGCTAATTGTAAATACTGTTGGGTAGTTAAATCTAGAGCAATACAGGCTATTATATGAGAACATCATGTTTGTAGCTTTGTCATGTGAAAACCACGTATCTGTGAAGTGAACTTTTCATGGGTTTCTCAGAAATACAGCCTGTTTTCAGCTCTGTGACAATGCCTTTTCCAGCTAATCCAAGAGGCTGCTGGAACATCAGCAGGACATGACTCTTTAAAGTAGAGACACTACATACTGTAACAACACTTACACATGTAAATAACACATTGTAAGCTACATTTTTAGTTTTTTGGTAATCTAAAACATAGACAAGTATGGTTTGCCCTTAAGATGTCTTTGTGTCATTTGTATGTGTGCACCCTTCCCATATGGACAGGAAGAGTGGACAGCTAAGCGTTGCTGGTGGAGGGAGAGGTGGTGGAGAGGGCAGAGGTGGGGACTCGCGTCACTGACTTGACTCGAGTCGCATATTTTTGGACTGAGACTTGCTTGACTAACATTGATAAAAGACATTGACTTGACTTTGACTTGGTATTCATGACTTGAGACTGACTTAAGCTTGAGACAGATGACTTGAAAGGACTTGACTTTTTTAAATTAAATATTTGCGTTTGTTTTTGTATTGAGATATTACATTTCGTTTTTTCGAAACGTGATTGGGTGATTATAGCACCGTGCGCGCAAACCTGGCAACCCACTAGCAGTGTTGCCAACTATATAATAAATATTGCTTTTGCTTTGACTCACACAGCCTCAGTCACTTAATCACCTCGTCCACTGTGTGTGTGCCTCTGTGACAAGCTAAACATCCACGGAGGTCATCATGTCACAGTCTAAAGTTACTGTGGCCTATTCACAAAAGTACAGAAAGGAGTGGGAATCAAACCCTGAGTTTAAAGGATGGTTGAAGCCATTTATTGGAGATGACACACGGGCCTACTGATATAGGCCTACTGCCTTTATTGTAAGGGAGATTTCTACTAAAAAATCCTGTAACTGCTCTGCTGACTTTCTCTACCCTTTTTCTACATTGGTTCCAGCGTGTGAAGATTAACGGCGTCGGCTTCCGTTAGCCTCAGAGTAATTGTTAAGACAGCGATGAACAGTCCTTAGCTCTAATCCCCAAATCAAAGAGAAGTTGCGCAGAACACCAACATTCAGGTTTGATTTCCTTCACTCAAAAAAAACATGCTTAATCTTTCCTTCCTTTCAGAGATCGCAGCGCAGAAGCTAGACTTACCTCCTGTATTTACTAATTAGCGAGAATGTGATTCAGGGTTCTTGAATTCACTTCCCACAGAACAGTACAAATAATGTAAGCTTTATGAAAGAAAAAGACAAAGGTGGTATTTCTAAGTGAGTCTGGAGATGTTGTAACATGCAGTAGGGTGTGACATATACAGCACACTGTGAGGTAAAAAGGAGAGGAAGAAAATTGTCTCGGAGTGTGACTACAAAGATAGATGTGTGTGGAGAAGAGAAAATATACAGAGATGAAAGGTTAAGGGAGAACAAAGCATGTCGAGTAGTGAGCATGGTTAAATAATTGTTTTATTGTGCATGCACTGTGCAAATGTACTCTAGGTAGAAGCTGTGGCATAATCCTGAGGGAGCAACACTATCAACAGACAAAGACTTGCATACCATTTATTCGTCCAATTTGACCTGACAGCTAATTCCATTTTTTTATGAACACACATATGTTAATATCCCTTCATATTTCCTTCTTGGCTTCAATTCAAACTGTGCTTTGGTGTTTGTGTGGAGCCCAAGGCTGAGCGTCATTACGGTGCTCAGCAGGCTCATTGCAGATCTATTATGTTGATTTGACTCCATGAGGTGGTAGAGAAAGCACTTGCTATGTGAGAAGCAGAGTAATGTGATTATATTACAGGAGCAGCAGGGTTGTTTGATAAGTATAGGGCCAGGCCACGGCTGTAGATGGGCCCCGGTGCCCTGTAGCTCCACAGTTTGGGAGCACATTCATTAACAGCCACAGATTATTACCAACAGCTTGTGCTGGGTACTGCCCAGCACACACACCATCATAAACATTCACATCTGTACACTGTCACTGTTCAAATTGAATGCATTCATTCTCTAATTTGATTACATTATTTCCTTGTTTGATGTATATGATGCTGTGTGTGCACACTGCGAACAGGAGATAAGAAGCATCACCACATGAGGACCAATTTGCTTACTTTCTTAGTCGGAGAAACTTTATTCTCTCTCTCTATTTAGATGTCACTGTTGGTGGCAGAGCTATGAGTTCTTAGATGGGGAATATTAATATTAATATCCGCTTTTCTTCTGTCTCACTAAAACCCACCCTCTTGCATCCTCCAGCTCCATACAAAACATGGCTTCTTGTGTAGGAGAGGACTCTTTTAGAGTAGAACACTTAAACCAGTTGTTAATGACTTATGAAACTATTTTTAGTATTCAATCAAACTTCAAATTCACATTGTTTATCAGAAGAATAAACTATGACAATATTATTAGTCATGAAGCTAGTCCTTATTGTAACTTCAACTTGAGGCGCTCCTATCAAGACTAGCGATTCACTTCCCACTGCGTACATGCCCTCATTCTCACTCTGTCTGAAATTCAATATTGTTTTTTGTGTCACACACAAACACCCACAAAAAACGTGGCTGTGTTGCCTCGGGGTCGTGACAGTGCTGCTGCGGTTCTGAGGAGGTGATGGCAGACAGTCAGCAGCAAACAGCAGACACCAACCGACTGTGTGCACGAGCCTGTGAACTGTACGCACTCTGAGGAGATACATGTGTCTGAGACATATCTGTAATGTTCAGCTCATATAAATGTGGTTTAATTGAGTCTTGTGATAATACTGTGACATGAAAGGTGTAAATGAATACAAATAGAACGATCTGAACGCGACAGGGAAGGCAGAGAGTTGCGACGTGACTTTCTGGAAGTTTTGTCAGGCAGCTAACTTTATGTAAGACAGTGTTAGAATTACTCGTGGTACATACATAGCTCTGGCTGAGGAACATATTAAGCTATTAGCATGTTAAGACATTTTAGGTCATGAACATTTCCCAACGAGGGGGTGCAGTTCTTCCAAAGCTGGATAGTTCATATTTATGAAATGTGTTCAGATCTTCCCGGCGTATTCAAAGGATGGGTATATATTTAGTATACATGCTGTAACACTTAGACATACAATATTTACAGAAAAACTCGAACAGGGTATGGCAACTGTACATTCTTATTGTTTTGTGCTTCTTAAGCTGCCTTTTGTGTATACTTATGGAAATGTTCCTTTATCTTCAGGAGTCTTCAGTGGAGTGCTGCTCGGGGACAGGGGTTATGCCTGCCAGCCTTTCCTAATGACCCCATATCCTGACCCTGGTGAAGGGCCACTTTCAATGTGGCCCATACCAAAACCAGGGTCAGGATAGAAATGACCTTTGGACTACTGAAGGCCCGATTCACCTGCCTGCGAGGGCTCAGAGTGGCCCTTGAAAGAGCGGTTCCCATCATAACGGCCTGTGTTGTGCTGCACAACATTGCAACCATGAGGAATGAGAGGGCCCCTCATGCAATCCCCCAACCTCCTGATGTGGTAGACCCCATCACCCTGGACTACCCTACTGGCAGGGCTGTCAGAGATGCTATTGCATGTTATATTGGCCAATATTTCTTGGTTTACTTTTTCTTAAAGACAAAAGGGATTTGTGTTTTAGGTATCCTAAAAGATGTAAAGGTCACCTTATGCACCTTTCATTTGACTTGAAAAAAAATTACTGAATGTTACAAAATTACCTGTCTTTCTCTCTCCAATTTCTCCACCTCCAGCTTTGTTTTTTCCATCAACAGCTTCTGGTGCTCTATGAGGAGGTCATTCAATTGGATGCTTTGGACTAGGGTCCGTTTGTACAGGGCCCGCACAGTGTCTGCTTCAGCCTGAAACACATGAAACACATAATGTTGCTTTAACATTCAAGCATGGCTCACAGCAAGAAAGCTGACAATTTTAAACTTGACTATACTTTTACATTTTGTTTAATTAATTACTTGTCGTGAGGGCCTAGGTGAGGGCCTAGATGAGGGCC